CCTTTCATCGCTTTCTTCTGCAAGTTTCGCATTTCTACTTGGAGTTGTTTCTCATTCTCACAGAAAAGGACTCCTTTCCTCTGAAGGCCCTGAGGCAGCTGGCCTCCGCCCAGTTCAACAGTGAGCAGAAGGGAGAGGCAGAGAAAGGCATGCCATGGTCAGGGCGTGACCACTGATGTCACCCCTCCTGCCTGCAGGGCTGGGAAGACCTCCAGGCCACATCGGGAAGGTGACTCAGGGGACAGCCCTGCTGCTGCCCGTGAGTGGCATGGGAGTAACTGTTGCTTTGGTCCTGTGTCCTCAGTATTTCAAAAGTGGCCTGTGAATCATTAGCACGGCAAAACTCCCCAGGGTGGGAATGCTGGCGTTGGGGTCACTTCCACGCAGATGCCCGTTACTGTCTGGCTTTAGTCCATCCTGTGGTTCACATTTGATTCACCTTTTCCTAGTGATTAAGTTCTCATTCATGAGTCTGCTGGCCATCTGTGAAGCGTGGACATGTAGGAGTTCAGGCGGGACACAGTGGCACACGCCTGTAATCCCAGAGACTCAGGAGGCTGAGACAGGAGGATCACAGGTCAAAGGCAGCCTCAGCAAGGCGAGGTGCTAAGCAACTCAGTGAGACCCTGTCTCTACATAAAATACAAAATAGGGCTGGGATGTGGCTCGGTGGCCGAGTGCCCCTGAGTTCAATCCCTGCTACTAAAAAAAAAAAAAAAAACAGTAGGTATTCAGATCCTTTGTCCCTTCTAATAGCCAACTTTTCAGTATAAGCGTTTTTTTTAATGTCCTCCTGACACAAGCCTCCCTCCAGACACATGATTTCTAGTATCTTCTGTTGGTCATTTTCCACGCCCTGATGGTGTAATTTGCAAACTTGTGGGTCTCTGTGAAGTCTGCTGTGGTTGTGGTCATTGCCCGCGAGCTCTCCTTCCCTCGCTCCCTCACATGGCTGGTTCTGCCTCCGCCACCTGGATCTTTGATTCAGTTGCTCTACTCCTCAGCCTCCCGAAGCCCACTGGGTCCCTTTCTGTCACCTGCAGCCTGGCGGGGCTCCCTCTCTGGCTCACTGTCGCCCTGCTTCATTCCTTTGATTCTTTGAACTTGACACCTGCTCGGTCTCCTGCGGGCGCGGAGCTGCTGAGGCCGCGCTGTGCCCTTTACCTGGGGCGCGTCCCCTCATCTGGAGCCTTTGCCGTAGGGCCTCTGGAGGTCACGCCCTGCAGCCGCTGGGCTGACTGTTCTGCGCTGGCCGTGGTGGGTTTAGCTGCTGGTGGGTTGTTTGGTACCTGCGTGCACTCCACCTGGGAAATCCATCTAATGTCCTGATTGGCTTTAAGGTTTGTATCCCTGACTGCATCTTCAACCTGGCTTCCCAGGGATTGCCAGATCCCCATGAGGTGATGATGCTCTGATTGGGTTTGGCTTGTGGCCCAACGCCTCGAGCCAGCCGGGACCTGTCCTGAGCTCCTCGCCAGCTCTGCTTCCCGCGGGGCCTTTCAGCTTCCCAGGCGCGTGCCTGCGGCTGTGAGGCAGGTCGGGTGGGTGACAGCCTGGCCCTTTCTGATCTCACCATGGTGAGAGCCCTGATGCTGGCCCTCTCCTGCTCGCCTGCCCCCCACGGTCACCACCACAGGGCCACTGTGGGCACCACGGCCCCAAGACCAAGCAGCCCTCTGGTCCTGGTGGACAGGAGCACCCAGTCAGAGCTCCGCAGGCCACGGCTCTCATTCAGGGGCAGCAGCTTTTTGAGTCACTGGCTTCTCGGACGGCCGAGCCCTCTGAGCGCCGCGGCACTGCCGTGCTATTTTACAGTGGCCCCCAGCATCAGAGTCGTCCTGCGGAGAGAGGCTTTCTGATTCCTCCAGCAATGGCATGGTCCTGCCCGGATGTTGTCCTTCCAGCCACTACAGCGACCAAGCTGGCTCAGAGTGCCAACGGACAGCAGAGCAGAGTGGCAGGCGGGGACAAGAAACTGACGGCTGAGGGCTGTACCCTCCCTGGAAGACCAGCTGCGCCCAGGCCTCCCCGTCGCACAGGGACACAGAGCAGGAACATGGCTGGCTCAGAACTGCTCACCTGCAGCCACAGGCCGTGTATCCTGCAGCCAGTCTACAACCACACATCCTCCTGCTGCTGCTGCTGCTGAAGGCACCCAGAGCCCCCCCCCCCCCACTTAGCTGGGATGTGCCCAAGCCCCTGCCCGTGGCTTCCTGTTGACTCTTTGGGGGGACCCACTACGTGAGTAGCTCCAGAGGCTCCTGAGGCCCCGACCAGAGCTGCAGCAGCATCTGGGGCCTCTGGAGACCAGCATCGGCCAGTCAGCGGTGGGTGTGTGGCAGGAGCTGCGTGAACACTGGTAGGAGGTGCGGCAGCCACGGCAGACTCCGGGACCCTGCAGACACCGTGTTTCTTCAACCAGGAGGCCTCGAGTCTTGAACAGGGTTAAGAGAAGGCACAGCAAGAGGCTGTACACTCCCATGAACACACCCGGGCATGGGGTGTGTGTGTGTGTGTGTGTGTGTGTGCACGCAGCCTCCTGCCCGTTTGACGCCTCTGTAGGCTCACCCTGGCACCTGTGAGAAAACACCACACCATGGCACTACGTGGCCCACAGGGCCCAGGGCTGTCACTCGTCCTCTGCCTCTTGTGGCCCCTGTGCTCCATGGCAGCTGCCTCGCCACTGTGCGCTCAGGGAAGGGGGCCACGGCAGGGTCTTCCAGGATGCTGGGCCTCTCACTGCCTCTCACGGGGAAACAGAGAGGGTGAGGCTGAGCAGCTCACCCCACAGTCCCTCTCAACGGGTCTGTAGGCCCACCTCGAGAGCACACCAGGGAAGTTCCCGTGTCTCCACCTCATGGACGGAGGTCCACCACCAACTTCTGGGCAACCCGCAAATGCTAAAAACCACCACCAAGCACCTGGGTTGATCCGAGACGCAGATTCTCAATTGACTACTCGGCCTTATTAAGCTCTGTCTGTCTTCTTGGTTTAACATCCTTAGAGTCGACACCAATTTGTGCCTTGAATCTTGCCGGTAGGAATCAAGACCCTCCCAATCTTGGACAGGCTTTGACTTGTGCATTGCTGCAGGACTTATGTCGTGCTGCAGGCCTGGTGTTCAAAGGGGCTTGGTGGCAGGGCCTGTTGTAGCCCCCAGAGGAGAATCAACATGTCCACGTGTGACAAGAAGATTCCTTTGCAGATGATTGATCCCACAGACGGGGAGGGGCTGCTTCCACAAAAAGAAGCTGCAGAAGACCTGGGGTTCCAGTGAGGGCTGCCTCTTCCCTGAGTCCCTCCTGTGTGGAGGACCTGGCCTCCTCCTGTCCAGTACCTCACCAAGTGCTACAGACCTGGCAGCAGGTACTGCACTTGGAGGCCCCACTGGCTGCCATCAGGACTCTGGCTCTGCACTGACCTCAGGTACTCATGGCCAGTCTCCTCCTTGCAAGCTCCCTAGGGTCCTAGACAGTGCACCTGACACTGCCACCTTTAGCCACGATCGTCCCCACAGCGACCACCCCTCCACTCAGCCTCCAGCCGCTTTCCACTGTAGTCCAGCCTACTCGGCTGCCATGGGGACTCAGATGTCTGGTCACTTCAGGTGGCCAGAGCCGGCTCACTCTCCCTCCCCCTTGCAGCCATTGTCCCTGAGCTTGTGCAACATGCACAGGCAAGCCCAGGCCGCGGGACCTCATGGAGGACGTTACTGTCCCAGTCGCTGTGTGTTAGCAGCCAGGGAGAAGCTGTATGGATTCTGTTGAGGTTTGTATCTAGGAACGTCCACCCTAAAGCTCATGGGGTAGACAGTGTGGCCAAGGAGTGGCCCTGAGTGTTAGAGATCATCCCAGTGACCGTGTCCTGGTGTCCCGTCCACGCCGGGGGTGGACTTGGAGGTGGGGCACGCTTCCCTCTGGTAAGACGACAGGCTCTGGTCTGGGCCTTTGGGTTTGAGCATGAGATGGTGTTAGCCATTCTTCTTCAATTTTCAGTTTGATGTTTGTTTGTTCTACTTATTCTAAGAAACCGGGACAGGCAGATCCATTATGCACATCTGGCCTGTTTCTCTCCTGTAAATGTCCTAAAGTCATAGCAAAATGTGTATAGAGACCCTACTTTGGAATGAGGACTCCTGTCCCTAGCTACGGGCACCTGCTCCTGCCAAGTTCCTCTTAATGGCCTCTGCCTTGGGGGAGTTCACCACGGAAGCCACACATGGGACAGTGCTGTCAGCCCCCCTTCAAGACGCACCTCTGGAGCAGGAGTGACGCAGAGTGTGTAAGACCAGTCGCCTGGGTATCCACAAGCTTTGGCCCCAGGACCCCCAGAGACACCCCAACCCCAGGGGGCACAGCCTACGCAGGGCCCATCACACCCTGCTTGTCCCCTGGCTCCTGCTGGTTGAACACCTACTGCAGAAAGTGCCACGCAGATGGCAGTTGTGCTGGGCTGTCCAGGAGCGATGACAGCAAAGGGCCTGCACTCCTTCGGTACTGACTGGTTTGGGACATTCTCGGGATGTGGAACGTGAGGTCAGAGGCCACTGTCCTGCTGCGAGCACCCTGAGATGTGATCCCTGGGGCAGCTTTGGCTCCATAACATGGAGCCAAAAACCTTGAAGAGTATTTGTTTTTGATTGTTAAGCTTTATACTAAACCTCTGCCACACCTTTGTGGGAGGCACCCCCTCCTCTGTGCCCTCTGTTAATCCAGCTGTCAGAGCCGCTGTCCCTGAGACGGCTGGAAAAGCAAATACCATCCTGCAGGACGGGGCCAGTACTGATAGGGACAGAGGCCAGCACCTAAGTCTCCCTTTTGTTTTGTTTGATCTCACTTTGTGGCCTCAAGCGATCCTGCTGCCTCAGACTGCCAAGTAGCTGGGACCACAGGCACGTGCCACCACACCTGGCCAAGATCTTTAGATAATTGAAGAAAAGTATTAAGTCCATGCCTCATGTAAAAATCCAGCAAAAAATCCAAATGCATCCGATATCTACATTATGTTTAAAATGAAGCTATTTAATGCTTTTATAAAGTAATGTGGATTTATTTATCTAGTGTTCTACAGAAGTAAGACTTGCAGAGCTGTAACTCAAAAACATATAAGCTGTAAAAGATTGACAAAGTCTGTCTTATTAAAATGTTGTGCATGGCAATAATCACTCCTTAAAAATTCTGCAACCAAAGCCAAAGGGCAGGTGAAAATACTGGAAACTTGTTCACAACTCAGACAGCAGAAAAAGAGGCGAAAACCTTCATGACAAAGAGCTAAGAGATGTGGAAGACAACTGCTCAGGAATCACCCTGAGGACCCTGCCTTCACACTGTCACTGGGTGCCCGTCACTCACCTGGACACCAGCGTCAGGAAGTGGGTGAGAGGTGCCCTGGACCCTCACCTAGGACTCGGGCCAGCCTTCTCTGCTGAGGACACTTACGCATGACTGAATATGCACACAAAGGAACATACAAAATCAGAAGCTTCTGACCAAGCACACCTTAAGAGGAGACGGCAGGTCATCCCAGTGTCATGGAGGATGAAGCTAATGGAGGCGCCAGCGTGGCAGATCTCAAGGCAAGCACACAGTAGCACGACTACAGCATTTTCTTGATTGTCTTATTTGCCCACAGAGAAATAAAACAGGCAAGTGACGCTCCGGCAGAAAGCCACTGCCCAGAGGCCGGGAGTGTGGCCGACTCTTCCTCCCACTGGACAGCACCAGGCCCTTCACAGACGCCCTGAATGGAGTGTTTCCCTGCTACAGGCCTGGGGTATAGCCAGGTGTCACCTCCAAACTTCCTGGCACTACCACCCACCAGGAGCCTCGGCAGGTCGGGGAGACCCCGCCTCTCCTCACACTCCTGGAGGGCCACCCTGGGCCTGCACCTCAGGCCCAGGAGCAGATAGAGGCTGCCCCGGGTGGATTCCAGGAGGTGAGACACCCTCGGGGAGTCCTGGGCAGGAGGAAGGGGCTGAGCTTGCTCCCTAGGGGAAGTAGACCTGGGAAGGCCATGAACCGCTGATGGCATTCAGCTCTGCCAATGCCACCTGCCTGGTACATCTGGGCCCCAAGGCATTGGTGTCCCTGAGACAGAAGCAGAATGGCCTGTGCACCACCCTTGGCGACTTCAGCCACCTGACATTCCTGACGCTGACTCTGCATTGAGCCTTTTCTTGGCCCAGTTCCTCACGTTTCCAGCGTCCGGCTGTGATGCCGCAGCCTTGGGAAATGGACTCCTCCTTAATCCAGTCCAGGAACCGCAAGATAGCCCACTGGAAGGGCCGCTCTGGGGGTCAGCACTCTGGGGGTGGCGGTGGACAGGTTCCCAGACAACTTGTTCTCCTTTCAATTCCAGTTTAACCCTGAAGACGGAAAGGAGACCAGGCAGGGAGGAGGAGCGCAGGGCGGCACACCAGGCCCTGGGCGGGGCACACCCACTGGAGGGGTGCTCGTCCCGCTGCAGCTCCCGCGCTGAGGCCATGTTGCAGGGCGCTGGGCGGCTGCTCCAAGAGCCTGTGTCCTGCGGGGAGAGCGCATGGGTCCCAGGCAAAGGGCGGTGGCTGCTGTCCTGAACTCACCTGTCCGGTTCCCTCTCTGGCGGCGGGCGAGGTGCAGGTGGCGCCATCGACAGCCCCTGGCTTGCGCCCTACGGGTCCCTCTGCGCTCTCCCCCAGGCCTCACAGGCTCCTGCGAAGCGGTGGGAATTGAGGTCAGTGCCCAGCAGGAGGCTCCGCACCAGGTGGTCAGAGCTTCAGCAAGGGGTGGAGGGGAGAGGAGCCATGTTATGTGGGCAGCGAACTGCACTCAGTGCCCTCTGCAGTGGCACAGGTCCCCTGGCCGTAGGGCCACCGCAGGAAGCGCAGTCTCATGGTGCCCTCCGGCTGCTTCTTCCTCTGTCTCTTTTTTCCCAGGACCTGGGGACGATGTCCTGGAGATGGCGGGGAGACGCGCAGTAATGCACCTGGTGCCAGGTCTCCCGCCCTGGTGGGTAGACTCCACAAGCGAGTTGTGGTCACCCCACCAGGCATGGCCCGTGGGCTGATGGCACAGGTCCCGGCAGCGGAGCCACGGTGGTGGAGACAAGGTGGGTACCAGCACTGGTCCCTACGAAATCACACTAACAACTTCACTCTGAAGCTGACCAGCGCCACCCGACCTGTGCTGGCCAGGAGTGGGAACAGAACTGGTGGCCACGGGCCTGACCAATATTTTTCTTAAGTGGGTGATTATTGACATAATAAACTACATCCTTAGGATGTTCTGCTGCATCCCGTGATTTTGGGAAGTTGTGTTTCCAGTGCCTCAAGACTACTTTCCCACCTCCCTTCCCCTGCCTCCCAGGCTTCATGCACCCCTGCAGCCTCCCCTGGCCGCAGCGCTCAGGACCCCCACCCCTGCTGTGGCCCTGCACAGGGTCTGCCCTTGACCTGAGCCCTGAGGTGGGAGTGGGGGGAGGGTCTGTCTAAGCCCCTGAGGTTCTGTCATCAGGCCCCATCTGCCCGTCCACCTCCTGAAGACAGCAGTGAGTCCAGCCAGGGCCTGGCTGGGTACCCCTCATCTCCCCAAAAGCTAAGGGTGCCCAGTGGGTGCCAGGTGGGGCAGGGGAAGCCCTGGGCCCTGGGCACAGCTGCCTGGCCACCCTCCAGCAGCACGCTCCAGCCCTGGGAGCAGGCTGCGTGTTGGGGTCTGGGGGCTTCCGCCCCTGCTGAGGCGTCATCAGCACAGGGAAGGAGAGGGCTCCTAAGGCTTAAGCAGCACCTGAGTGGACAGGCCCCTCACCTCCTCATGGCCCTGGGCCCCGTGGGGCGGGGGAGAGGGAGGCCAGGCCTCCCTGGGGCCCATGAGGAGCCAGTCCCAGCCAGGGCCTCTCCTGGGGCATCAGTCCATGGGGACACAGGAGTTGGGTTTCCCTCTCCCACACCTGGAAGGGACTGAGGCCTGGGGACCAGGGCCCTGACCCTCTGGGGAGGCGTCTACAGAGGGACCCAAATGGGGAGTTCTCAGGCCAACCCAGGGGGGCTGCCAGGACAAGGAGGGATGCCCACTGTCAAGGGGTCCTTCCGTGCTTCAGCTACTGGTCAGGATGGGCAGGGACCCAGGCTGGGGACCCGACCCCGGGAGCCGCGGGGGTCTGTGCTGGGCAGACGGGCCAGGCCCTCCAGGAGGGAACTCTCCCAGCACTGGACAGTGGTCTGAACAGACAAGTGAGAAAACATCCAGAGAAACTTACGGGATTTTCAGAAACTGGACAGGGAAGGGATTCTGCGGCCAGCGGGCTGCACACAGTGCGTAACAAAGTGAGGGGCTCCGGCAGGGCGACAGCAGCCTGCGGAGCTGAGGAGAGACGGCCGCGTCCAGTGAGCACCCGAGTGCGCGGGAGGTCAGCCGGCTCCACCTGCAGGCGGCAGCATCAGGGCCAGGGCCTTTTCTCCAGTTTTTTGTTGTTCCCGGTAAGACCACGGACGACTTCTGAAACCTAAGAAAGAATGTGAAGTGAACGCTGTCCCCGGGAAATCAACAGCACAGGGAAGAACACTGGGCAGGAACTTTCTGTCACCCTGTAGTCACATGTCATCAGCAGGTGACCTGCTGGACTCCTGACAGCACACCTGATAGCCCTGAGCTGAAGCAGCAATGAGAGGGCCCCAGATAAATAAGGAAGACAAATCAAGAAAACAGAAGGTAGAGCCAGTAGGAAGGCCCTCGCAAAAATAAAAGGAGAGGAGATCTGGAAAATCAGAAAAAGTCACAAGGAAATGACCATGTGTCCTGTGAGGCCACCAGACAGGGGTATAAAGACCCTGGCTCAGGAGGCCCCACACCTCACTCCTCCCTCCACCTGCTCCTCTCACCTCCTCCACCCTCCACCTCCAGAACCATGACCTGCTGTGGCTGCTCCGGGGGCTGTGGCTCCAGCTGTGGGGGCTGTGGCTCCAGCTGTGGGGGCTGTGGCTCCAGCTGCTGCAAGCCCGTGTGCTGCTGTGTGCCAGCCTGTTCCTGCTCCAGCTGTGGCTCCTGTGGGGGCTGCAAGGGGGGCTGTGGCTCCTGTGGGGGCTGCAAGGGGGGCTGTGGCTCCTGTGGGGGCTGCAAGGGGGGCTGTGGCTCCTGCGGAGGCTGCAAGGGGGGCTGTGGCTCCTGTGGGGGCTGCAAGTCCAGCTGCTGTCAATCCAGCTGCTGCAAGCCCTGCTGCTGCCAGGACAGCTGCTGCAAGTCCAGCTGTTGCAAGTCCAGCTGCTGCAAACCCTGCTGCTCCTCGGGCTGTGGGTCCTCTTGCTGCCAGTCCAGCTGCTGCAAGCCCTGCTGCTGCCAGTCCAGCTGCTGCAAGCCCTGCTGCTCTTCAGGCTGTGGGTCCTCTTGCTGCCAGTCCAGCTGCTGCAAGCCCTGCTGCTGCCAGTCCAGCTGCTGCAAACCCTGCTGCTCCTCAGGCTGTGGGTCCTCCTGCTGCCAGTCCAGCTGCTGCGTCCCCATTTGCTGCCAGTGCAAGATCTAAATCTCTGACTTCAGCCCTCTGGGTTTCTCAGTGTCTGGTGAAACCGTTTCTTGTCCCTGGTCAGCTCCTGTCCACTGGCCTCCCTGAGGTGACTACAACATCTCCTGCCTTTCATCCTCTGCTCTCACCGCCCTCTCTGGTGGGCTCTGTCTCCACTTTTCTCCCTCTAGAGAAGCATGTTTCCAGGTGCCGGAGAGAGGCCTTCCTCTGCACGTGGGCACGTGCCTAGCTGACAGCCACAGTGACCATCGCCTGCCTCTTTCCAGGCTTCTCAGATTCAGGGTCCCACCCCACAGCCAGGCAAGGTTTCCGGTGCTCACCGAGGATTGTTTTAAACAACTTCTTGACCCTCAGCACCTGGGTCCTCCCAGGCCACTTCCTGCTCCTCTGACTCACTTCCCTAAGAGATTTCCTTCCTTCCTGTTGCTTCCAACTTCTCCTGTTTTAAAAAAACAAAATGACAAACGAACTTCCTTTTAATAAAGCCTAAGCTGTGTAAACCAACTGTGTGCTTGGTGCAGTGCTTTCTTTCCCACCTCCTCCCTCAAGTAGCTAATTAGCAGCTCTAGGTGCGGGGTAGGGGTCCATTCCAGGGGGCCTGGGAGTTTCACATAGAGTGACGCCCCAGCACTTCCATCTTCCTGAGGCCCCCATACACCTTCCCCGTCTCTGCTTGCAGGGTGCAGGCTTAGTGGGGCGGGCTGGCCTCCAGAACCAGCCAGGAAGAGTGCTGAACGCTGATTACTGACAGTCCATGGAGTGGGACTTTGTGTGCATGAATAACCAAGTAGCAACTCCCTCTTCCCACTCTCCTCTCTAGTCCCAGTACAGAAGTGCTGGTCCTTGGAAAGGCAGGGCCCTTGGAGGGTCCCAGGGCAGGCTAGGGTCAGGGGACAAGAGGAGAAAAGCCCCAGGCATGCCCACTCCCTCTGGCCACAAGTCCACATTTGGCAGATGCAAAATGAGTGTTTTGGGATGATAAACAGACGAGGGCTCTAATCGCCAAAGGTCTGCAGACACTTAGGGGGTGCCCATGGCCCCTGAAAGAGTAACATCCCGCAGGAGAGGGAAGCTGAGCACGGCACATTCTGGGGAGCCTCAGGAACGTAAAACTGCCCTGTGCTGCTGTGCCACCCAGCTGGCCTCCTTGCCACACAGCCAGCTGCTCTGGGCTGCAGCACACACTGGTACAGAAGCAGCGGGTCACCTCTGGGTGGGCAGAGGTTGCTGAGGAGGCTGCCCGCCTGCAGAGCGTGGAGGGAGAGACCCACCACAGGAGAGGCGTGGCCGGGCAGGGGCTCCCAGCCACACTTGCAGCCAACCCTAATAATGCAGACCGTGCAGGGACCTGGAACAGCCACTCCAGAGCCAGGACTCCCAAGATGAGAGAGAGGAGCTGGGGAGGACATAGGCGAGCACAGAAACGAGAGGCTGGGGTCTCCACCACAGGGAGGAGGGGGGCAAGCACCCTCCAGGTCCTCTGGGAGAACATGGTGACTCCACTTGGCAGTGCCCGGAAGAAATGTGGCTCAAGATGCCGGAAGGATCTCAGTGCCGGGGAGCACTACTGTACCCTGGACATAGCACCTGCCACCTCCCCACATAAAACAGGCTCGGGTGGCCCCTGCAGCAATGACGAGCGAGCCCCAGAGAGCCAGCAGCCGGGGACAAAGTTCCCCATGTCCTGCCCACTGTCAGTGTCTGCAGAGACAAAGGGACTTCCAACCCCCAATACCAAGGAACCTCAGAAGAGGACCAGGGCTGCCCGGGAACGTTCAGGATGAACTGAGGTCCCTGGAGCAGGGAGCTTTCCCACGGCGCCTTGCATCCCCCCAGAGACCTGCCTCCCAGGTCAGAACCTCGGCCTGCAGTGTCCACCAAGCTCACGCCCAAGGACACGCGGTCCAACACTCAGAAGCAGGAGAACACCAAATGAGGACACAGCACTTCAGGGAAGCTCAGAGAGAGGGGACAGGCCACCTGCAAAGAGTGCAAGAAGGCCGGGCGTGGGGCACACACTCGTAGTCCCAGCACCTCGGGAGGCTGAGGCAGGAGGATCGTGAGTTCAAAGCCAGCCTCAGGAACTCAGTGAGACCCTAAGCAACTTAGAGAGACTCTGTCACAAAATAAAATATAATAAGAGCTGGGGATGGGGCTCAGTGGTTAAGACCCCTGCATTCAACCCCCAGTACCAAAAACAAACAAACAAGTGGAAGAAACAGCAGAGCAAACACACCCAGTGAATCCCAGGAGCCGAAAAGGTTAGGGATGCAGCAGAAAGCACCAACCAGGATGGTAGATTTAAACACATGCATTTCAGAAGTTATACCTAAAGTAAATGGGCAAAGTCCTCTATTTTAAGAGAGCTAGACTAGGTTTTTTAATTTATCTATAGGCAAACTCAAAAGCTGCACCTAAAATATAAGGATACAAAAAGTTAAAAACAAATGGATGGAAAAACATATAACTCGCAAAAAAGCTGTGTCAACAGTAGGCAAAACAGAAATGGAGGCCGAGCTGGGTGCGATGGCACACACCTGAAATCCAGTGGCTTGGGAGGCTGAGGCAGGAGGATGGCAGTTCAAAGCAGCCTCAGCAACTTAAATAAAAAGTGCTGGGGATGGGGCTCAGTGGTTAAATACTCCTGGATTCCACCCCCAGTACCCAAAAAGTGGCCAGAATTTTTTTTTTGAGAAACAAAGAGGATCCCTTAAATAAGCCAGGAAGCTCTAGTTGTGTGGATGTTATGTACATAACAAAATAGCCTCGGAATACACAAAGCAAACCATGACAAACCACAGCGGGGAGAGAACAAGACTAGAACAGCGGAGTTTAATGTTCCTACCTCAGTGATTTGAATACCAACAGACAAAATAGCAGGGCAGGTCTGGAGATCTGAACTCAGAATTCACAAGCAGATCCAAAATGACTTACAGAAAGTGTCCCGTCACAGCTCTGCAATACGCATTCTTTCTAAGCTCACGGAATATTTACAGAGATTAATGGAGGCTAGCCAAGAAGACCCGGCCATGAGAAAGGCTGACACCAGGTGCAGCATGCTTTACCTCTGCAGTGGAAACAAATACCACAAAGTGACCAGTGGTTACAAGTCGAGGAACCCAAGGGCTTTGGTGTGTACAGCACCTTTCAATGATCAGCTGCTGAGAAGAAAGAGCCAAAGGTGTTGGGCGACATGCAGACTGCCATTTGCTCTTCCATACTGGACAAGGTGGGAAGGAAAGACTTCTGCTTGTTTTCTACATAGGTATGTCAGTCAGCCGTCCCCTGCTATGACAAAATGCCTGAGATGATCAACTTGTTTCTTTGCGGTGCTGGAGATCACACTGAGGGAGACATAGAAAGGCCTCGGCAGCCAGGGCAAGATGGTGAGTGAGGAGGTCGGGGCAGGGCCCGAGCAAGGAGCATGGAGAGGGTCTCCTGAGGAGGTCAACTTCCTGCTTGACAAAAGTGCCCATGGACAAGCCAGGGACGCAATCAGACAGACACTCTGTACTCGTGCCCCTAAGCAGGGGATCCAATAGAAAAACTAGAGCATATACGTGGACAGAGAGGGCACCCATCAGTAACAGTGAGGAGACCGGGGACAGGGGAGGAGATAAGGAAAGGAAGAAATTCCAGCGATCATAAAAAGAACAGGCAAAAACTCCCCTCCAGACTCCTGGCTCTGGGGACGCTCCTCTGGGGAGAAGTCTGTCTCTGTTGCTTTTGCAATAAACCAGCTGCCTGCTTGCTGCCTCTGTGTCCTGTTCTCCGATTCTTTGCTGAACAGAGACAATGAACTCAGTACCCGCCGACGTAACAAAACTCGATGCCTTGTGTGTTTTAGGCAGGTGCTCTCCCACTGGGTTACATCCCAGCCCCTAGAGACAATCAAGAAGGAAAGGCTTATTTTGGCTTGTGGTCTCAGGTTTCGGTCAGGGTCACTGTTGTACTGGGCCTGTGGCAGCACAGTACATCAGGGCGGGTGGGCATGGCCAAGGAGGCTCTTTACCTCCTGATCACCTAAAGCACAGAACAGAGCAGGGTGGGTCCTAATAGTCCTTCAAGTGCACACCACCAATGACCCAGCTTCCTCCAGTAACCTCCTGGGGTCCCTCCACCCCCAATGCACCACAGGCTGGCACCACGCCTTCAGCTCAAGAGCCTTTGTGGAGGTTCAAGATCCAGATGAACACTGAGCACATGGTCTACCTAATACTTGCAAAAGGATCTGTCTTACTTGTGCCACACAATGAACAAACATCCAAATACGTACGTGTGCTGAGAACTGGAGGGACCTCAGTCCCCAGGGAACAAATCCTGTGTAGACACCATTTTTACTCACTTGCTTCGCAGGCACCCTCATCCCCACCCACGGGCACAGATCGCCCCACTTCCACAGTTTACCTACACGTGTGCCGTAGTCAAGACAAACATGGGGTCTTCCCAGCACACATGCTCAGTCACCCTCACAGTGGGTACACGCCATGAGGGACTCCTTGTCCTTCACATCTGGGCAGGTGTTTCTCTGGGGCACATGTGAGGGCTCACCTCCCTATGTCAAAACCCATGCACACGCTCAGCCTCAGCCCCGCCATATTGGTTCACCAAGCAGGCTACAGGGGTCGCTCTGTCTGGGACAGGGACAAACATCTTGTATCCCTCCCTTCGCTCTCATTGGAGAGAAGGCTGAAGACCTCTCAGTGTCCCTGTTGCCATTTCAGAGTAGCCTATTCCCGTTCTTCATTTCCCGCTGGGTCGTCCTGTCTTCTCTGGTGGTTTGTAGGAGTTCACGATAGTCTAGACATTGACCCATCATCCATGATTAGAAACAGAGCAAACCTTTCCTCCTCCTTCACCAACAGCTATTTATGTATTTATTCATTTTTGTACTCAGATTGAACCCAGGGGTGCTTTTTATGATTTTATTGAGACAGGGTTTCACTAAGTTGCCCATGCTGGCCTTGATCTTGTGATC